ACCAAATGTCTCACTTGTTGTGTCCAGTACACCGTGAAACAATTCACGATAACAGACTCAATCCATAACAAGTCGAGAACCCAAATGAGAATGTAAACACTCTCCAAATGTCAGTATTAACTCACCAAATCGATCTCACCCCTATCAAAATTCCAACCCGGCTGCATCATAAAGATTGCCTACGTATCCTCTTGCCCAAGGAATCAAGCCGAACGTAGTTCACCCAAATGGCCGCGAACGACCTCAAACCAATAGAAGAGTTCGTAACCCTTCTCCAATATCATCAATTCTGCGGCTGATAGCACCTCCAATGGCCTCAAACACCTCCACCTGAGGCGAACCAATGGCCATATCCAAACTATGTCTGCCAGCTGCACTCGATTCAAAACCCAACTCATCATCTGCATCCGAATCTAAATGACTTCCACGCTGTGTCACCTCAGCTGAAATCCCAACCAATGCAGAATGACCTAGAGTATGTGAGAAAATCCCTACCCAATGTGGAGTAGCATCACTCTCCACCCGCTGCGATACCTCTAAGGTCTGTCCAAAACTCTTCACCTGCTGAGAGTCAATTGGCTTCCTCATCGAAGCTTCAACCAAAGTGACACTACCAGACCTATCTTCCAATGGAGTTTTACCTCCAATCGCAACAGTTGACAACTCTTTAATAGGATGGCCCAAATATGTCGAAGCCTCTGTCCAGAAACATTTCTGCAGACCATTGCTCGACCACAAACACCGATCCTCCTCCAGCAAGTCACGGTTCTCCAAATTTACCACCCTATCTAGTTGCCCCAAGATTTTCTTTCTAACGAAGTGTCTTGAAATGCCGTGAGCTCGGCTCCAATACAGAAATAGGTCCATCTTGTACCTCCTACCAAAACCAGAATGGAGTACCTTTACCTTTCTGTCTTTCACACACTTCTTCAATCTGTTGGATACTACTAGGACTTTCTCCAATGGGGATTTGGTTGCAACCCAAACACGCCTAGAACAGTCACCAACAAAGGAAACCAAACTTCTATTACCTCCCAATGATGCTGAACTCCTCCAGAACGACCCTTAGCACGGTGAATAGAGGTGCCACACTTCACCTCGGTCTTCTTGCTCACATCAACATGTTCACTGGACTTCAAACTGCAGGTCTTCGCACCCTCTTTCAATCTATGCGAGGAATCAATACTGGAATGGCCAAGCCCCAAATGTCGCAGTCTAGTCGAATCAACAGAAGTCGTCAGCTCTCCACCTGCCACTATACCTCCAGTCAAGTAATACAGGTTATTTCTCCTGACGCCCTTCATCAAAATACAAGAGTCTCTCACAATCTCGAGAACCATGTCCTCAACACGAACCTTCAGACCCTCTCCAACCAAAACTCCAATTGAGATCAAGTTCTTCCTCAAAGAAGGAACATATCTCACATCATTTAACTCTCTAACAGTCCCGTCAAACATCTTTATGCGAATTCTTCCTATCCCAAGGATCTGGCATGCACGGTTATCAGCCATGTACACCACACCACTATCCACCAGCTACTCAAAACTGAAGAACCATTCCCTTCTAGGGCACACATGATAGGTCGCACCACTATCCAACATCCATTCAGATTCCTCCGAATAGCTATCTGTAGGACTGATAGAAAGCGAATAAATAGAAGAGTCAGAATTATTACCATCCGATACAATGTTTGCTTCTGATGATGGCTGCTTCCCTTTTCCCTTTTGCTTATTCTTCATCCATTTGTCGAGCTTTGGGCAGTCTTTCTTCCAATGACCAGTCTCCTTGCACCAAGCACACTGATCTTTTCCTACTCTAGACTGTGACTTCCAATTCTTTCGGTTTGGACCCTTCCCTCTTGCGACCAACACCTCTGCTACCGGCTCAACTGAAGCCTCCTTATCCTTCTTTCGAAGCTGATAATTCACAAGTGCAGCAATGACCTCACTATACGAAAGGGATGCCTTCCCATTAATAAGAGTAAGCACGAAGGTCTCATATTCCTCGTCGGGCAAGGAACTCAACAACAGCAACGCCTTGTCCTCATCTTCAATCTTGACATCCACATTCGCCAAATCCGCAAGAAGCTTTGTGTAGTGGTTCATGTGATCTCTAATGGAGGTTCCCTTCTTCAACTGGAAACGATAAAGTCTCCTCTTCAAATGCAAGCGATTTTCCACACTCTTGGTCAAATACTTGCTTTCGAGAATCTCCCAAATCTTCTTCGCAGAAGTCTCATTCATCACATCATATTTTAGATCTTGAGTCAAACAAGACCTAATCACACCACACGCCGTTCGATTCATCTTCTTCCAAACCTTCTCTTCAATCTCATCTGGCTTGCCATCTAACTCCAAGGTATCCTCCAAATTCTGCGCGTTCAGCGCATCCAAAACCTCGCATCTCCATAATCCAAAGTTGTTTGTGCCATTAAATTTCTCCACATCTATCTTCATAGAGTGGATATTCAGTCTTCCCGCCAGAAGAACCACCCTCGACTCCCGAAGCACCTTCTTTCCCCGACATCTTACGCACCAACGAACAAAGAATAGATCCAAAACTGAAAGATAGAGTCTTTACCAAAAGATTCCACCTTTATCACCAACGAAGTCCTAAACGAGCCTCCAAATTGATCTACTCCTCCAACCAAACCCTAGATCTGGAATCTGGGCTCTGATACCACTTGTTGTGTGCATCGGAAATTTCGACAGAGTTTCTGGTGCATAATAAGAGAGAAAGATCGATAAGAATTCTTGTTTCTCAAAGGGAACAAGAATCTGAAAGCCTAATATCCCATCAAAGTGGGATATTAGCTCTTCCTCTCGTCAGCTCTAGGACTGCGCGTCGAGGGATCCTAAAAATTATTACAATGGTCACAAACTCAAACAATCAATTTTTACGTGGTTCGGCAAACTGCCTACGTCCACGGGGCAAGGAGGGGGAGATCTACTATTAGAGGGGAGAGGGAAAGAGAATACAAATAGGGTTTACAATCTCTCAAATGTAAACCCTCAAACAATCTCTCAATCTCTCACAAAAGCACAAAAGGATTACACAGAAAACTCCTCTCAAAGTCAGCTTTGATACAGCCACTTTTCTCCTCTGCGCGAATCCCTTTGCTTTTCACTTTGCCAGCACTGTCCTTTGCACCCAGCCGCCACAATTTATCTCCCCTCTGCCTTTCCTTGCACAAAACCTAGGGGGGAACTAGGGGACTATTTATAGAGAGTTATGTACCGGGTGGGCCTTTTTAACCGCTGAACAAAGCTCCGCATTCAGCAAAACTCTCTTCTCTTCACGTGGGTCTTCAAGCCTTAGCCTCAGCTCGTGGTCCCCACTCACATCACATCCACAGTGTCCCCCCTCTCCCACCCCCAACTAATTCATATTGTAGTTACATTGATACTAACTATTCAGTTTGTTGGTATTGAATCTTTGTATTGTTTGCACTGAATTAAAAGTAGTAAAACACTATGCTATTCTTCTCACCTATTCTATATGGAGTTCCATCTGGATTGTTTGGTTGCGTGGAAATGGAGCTGTAGATATAAATACGACAACCATATTTATGTACTTATTTGATTTATAATATTTTAATTAGGAAATGCAATTCAACTTTCAAGTTGTGGAAAAAAGTAACAACAAATGTTGCGGCCAACTTGATGGGAGGAAAAGTTATAGACTCCAAAATAGAAAACCAAAAAATAAAATAATAAGTTTACCCCCATATAAAAACTCTTCATAAATCCAACTAGGAAAATTATCAGCACCTAGTTTTCTTATATGGCAAAATTGCAAAGCTTCCATATAAAACATTTTTTACTAAACATTGTATTTGCATTAGAAATACATTTCATACAATAAAATTGAAGACATCCAAACAATAGATTTGAAGTTAATTTACTGCAACAAATGTTGTTATTATGCATATAACCCAACTTTACAATTAGGCTAGCCAGACCACATCTCGACTCCAAGTTGACTCGATCAACTAGGTAGCCACTTAGCTCGACTAAAGTGTGGGAAATCCATCACGACCCATGAGCCAGACCTAAAACTAGGGATAGAGTGGATAAGGCCCATAACAATTAAATTTATCTCAATTCAGTTACTATTACTAATCCCAAACCGGGCATGGTTATATGACGGTCTGCCCAATGAACGATGATTGATCCGGATTGTATTATATTCTCAACATATCATGTTAGGAGATATCAATTGGATATTCAATCTCTCTAATTGCCAACTGTTGTAACTTACTAGATCTACACATACATCAGTTATACCATCCTACGACAATGAGCTCTTGCCCCATAGATTTGCTTGCAGGCTAAGTAACTACCATAGCAGGATGATGACATGTGTACTATGTGATTTATCCCAAGCAATCAGTATAAAAACGTTACCCTACCTACAGGTAAAAGGATTGATCCTCCATCATCTTAACATGTGTTCTGTACCACCGACCTTGGTTTATGATAATCACCCTCAAAGATCCTAACCTAGATTACCTACCGCTTTGGCTTCTTCATTATCAAGAGTCTCACTTAGGCGTTAGACACCATCACCAATCTAACGCTTTTTCCATGTATCTCAGACCCCGGGCAGTTTAATCTTGCCTACTTAATTCCAAGTTTTTCTCTGCAACAATAGCTACATTCGACCATTGTCGCCGCAATTCATTTTTCATGAAACCAAACAGCCCCTTCGCTACGAAATGAGATCCTCTCCTCATGCATAGTATCCTAATATTTCCTAATGTTCAATCTTGGTCATTCATTTTACACACGTGGGGCCCATTGGAGGGGATGGAGGGTGATGGAGGGGATGAATACATTAGGAAACATTAGGAAATATTATACATGAGGAGAGGATCCGGATCCCTTCGCTACTTGTGAAAATCGAGTTTTTTTTTTATTTTTAATAGGAACAACCAACCACCACCAAAGTCACCAATAAAACCCTTTCTCGATTTCGCTATTCCACTCATGGCCCATATATCGTTTCGCTCTCACGTAGAGAAGAAAAGCCCACCGATCAACCCAGCGAAACCAGCGGCCCAGATTTCATCTCATCGCCATCACCGGCCCAGATTCGGCGATGTGTTCAAAGCCCATCCCCATCCTTCTCTCTCCTTCCGCTCGCTGTTACTGCTGCTTCTTACTTCAGAGGACTCCCCTCCATTTTCAAACTATGCGCAGATCTCTCAACCCCCTCCTTCAACTGTCCTCTACCCCCCTCCGCCATTGCCAATCTCTAAGCTTTGGGTCTCTCCACAGTTCGAGCAGGATCGAGGGGTTCTTGAAGTCGAGGGGTGGAGCTTTTCATCGCCTGGAGTTTTCTTGTGCTTACAGGTCCAAAGGTTTGAGGATGTCTTATAACGGGTCGGATTCGAGCTCCGCGCCCTCGGTTGTGGTGAGTTCTTTTGAGTTTTTGGTTGTGGGTTCTTGATCTTTTTTTGTCTAATTCCTTGTATATTCATTGGATTATTGGATTTTGCGTGTTCCTAGTGAAGATTGTGATTAAAGTGTTAATGGGTATCATTATTTTTGTTAGTTGGAAACACTTCCTGGTGGGCATGAAACTGTGAAGTTGAGGTGTTTGCGAAAATGTGTTAGGGGAATTGGTGGGCGTTTTTTGATAGGCAATGGGTAATCTGAATCATGAAGTTAATTGGAATTTTGATGGGCGTGATGAGATAGCCGATGATCGGAAAATTCAAATAGGATTGTGCGGTTCTTCAAATGAAGAGGGTGGAGTATTTTCATCGGCTGGAGCTTTCTCGTGTTTACAGGTGTAGAAGTTGTATCGGCTTTTGTGTGGTATTATGGAGAATTGTGATTGAGAAGTTGATGGGTATCCTTGTCTTTGTGTGAAGAAACTTGATAGGGAAATTGTTGATGGCTATTGAATTTTGAAGTTAAGGTGTTTGTGAAAATGTGTTAGAAAAATTAGTGGATAGTTTGTGGGCGGTTGAACAGTAAAAATGTTGATCAAAATTTTGATGGGATGATGAGATAGTTGATGGGTTAGGAATTTGAATAGTGCGGCTGTTGAAATCGAGAAGTGGAGTAATTTTGTAGATTGGAATTCTTGTGCGCATACTGGTTTCAAAGTTTGAAGATGTCTTTTAATGGTTGCCTTCGGTTGTGGTGAGATTTTGTCAAATCTTTGTCATGGGCTCTTGGTCTTTCTATTGAATTGTCAGTTTTTGTGTATTCTTAGTGAGAATTGTGATTTGAGAGTTAATGTGTATCATTATTTTTATTAGTTGGGGGGAAATTGTTAGTGGGTATCAAACTGTGATGCTGAGGTGTTTGTGGAAATGTGTTAGAGGATTTAGTGGGATGTTTTGTAGGTAAGGAATAATGATAAATGTGATTGAATTTTAGTGGTATGATGAAATAGTTGATGAGTTTGGGGATTATGTTGAAATGATAGGTAAAGAGGATGTTGGCTGTGTTGGGATTTCTCGTCCTGAAGGCGATAGAGAAGATCACACAAATATATTGGGAGGAACATTGGCAGATCCACACAGTGTTATCAATGCGCAAGGCGCAACATGGCGTGCAAAGCCCCTTTATGCACACATGCGCAAGGCACAATGCGATGCGCTCGCCTGAGTAAATCGAGGTGCACACCGCACACATAATTTTGAAGGATAGATAATCAAGCACGAAAGAACATGTTTATGAATTTTCACATAAAAACATGTAAAAATAAGTAATATGATGCCAAATCACAAAATAAGGTGTTAATTCTAATGCTAGCACATCCAACATAATAGTGAAGTTCATAACTTTCCAAATAAAAAAATCAAATCAAGATGCTATTGAAGCAAAATTAAATAGTAAACAAGGATTAGTGAGGATCCTCACTCAGGATTCTAAAAAGGCCTATTGGGTTTATTTGGGATGATTAGAAACTCAATTGAAATGTTGAAGGAAAAAAACTATACGAGATTATGCCTTGTATGCACTTTGCTTGCGAGGCGCACAAGGTGTTACCGCTTCAGTGAGGCGTGAGCCTTTAATAATACTGGATCCACCTACACTACACTTTGGTCCATGTACAATAGCCCCCCCCCCCCCCCCCGCAAAAAAAAAAAAAAGTAAAAACAACAAAACAAAACATGAAACTGCCTAGTGTATTTTGTTTTGAAGATGGCTAAGATAACTGTCAAAGAGAATTTTTACACTACGAAGTTGACAAAGAGTAAGTTGCAAAATAAAATAAGTGATGGTGCAATGATTGCTTACTCACATTCTATATTGAGAAAGATGTATTTAATAGTGTTACTAATGATGTGATTAGGTACCTTTTTCCATATATGAAAACTCATCAAGCACAATTGTAATTGATTAATTAATTATATAGTGACACTACTTTCAGAAAATCATGGAGGGAAGAACCGGATTCTTTTATTAACCAAGAAATGTTCACCTTCAACCCTAGCCTATGGTTGTGGGTTTTGGTAGATTTTGTTAGTGGGCGTTTGATGATCTTTTGTTTGTTCTTTGTTTTTTTAACTTTTTGGTGTGGTTTCATCGAGAATTGTCATTGAATAGTTGAGTTTGTTTTCTTTTTTGGTGTGAAGAAGCTAGTTAGGGAAATTATTGGTGGGTATTCAAATATGAAGTTGAGGTGTTTGACGAAATGCGTAGAGGAAATAGTGAGATATTTCGTAGATAATGAATAATAATAATTGTGATTGAAATCAGTGGGATAGTTTGGAGATATGTTGAAAGGATAGGTAAAGAGGATATTGGTTGTTAATTTGGTGGGAGCTTGGGTTGCTCTTGTTGGCAGGATTTAGGTAATATTTTCAGCTGAAAACCAGGTATATGGGACCTTTTAAGTTAAAAATAATGATAATGGTAATTTGATGTAGAGGGTTAGAATATCCTTCTGGGGAAAGAGATGGGTGATCCTAGGGGAATTTGCAGCTTCTTGAATCTATCAGGTGTATCAGTACTTGCATCTACTTGCTGAATTATTGACTTATAGTTTCGTGGGAGTTGTTTGTAGTAGGTATTATCCACCTGTCATTTTATGTGTATCTCTTCCTCAAGGATTTTAAATGCAAGTCGTGTTTTGTTGAACATGATTAGGAGATAAATGGGGGGAAAAAGTATGCTCCTAACTTTACTTTTGTAAATATAAATATCATCTAAATATATAAGAAAGATTTAAAGATCATGACTGTGATTACCTAATAATCTCTTATTTAAATTTCATCAAACTTAGCCAAAAAATATGTAATTGACAAGGGCATAAAGCAATGAACATCCTAAGCATGAGGAGAGCCATCAGCATAAAGCAGTGAACATCCTAAGCATGAGGAGAGACATCACACCAGGTACCATTCGAGGAGTTGGCATATAATAAAAGGAATTAAAATAATATAGTGAACATCACCTCAATGGGGTTAATAATTTAAATCAATTCCAACTGTGAACTCTATTAGTTTTACAAGTCTTCTTTTCCCTATCTCCAGCCCTAGCATTGTAGCGAATAAACGCCTTTCCAAAGCAATATTCTTATTATTCAAGTAAACCAGAAGACAGTCAGCTTTGATAAAACATGTGATTGGATGACTTTGTCCTGATCGGTCAATTTCAATTATTCTTTCAGCCTTTCAGGTCTTGTTTCCTCAGTTTGATTATGCATAACAAAGTTATAACTTTGTCCTGATTTTAATGGAATTGGTTTCACCTTTTTCTCTATCGGCTAGGATGGGAAGCAAGTTGTCAGTTGGTTAGATTAGTAGAATTTCCTGTAGCATGTGTTTCTGAGATATTAGTGCATATATCCATCAAAGAAACTTGGCCAATAGTTCGATCCTTTTGCGTAATTGATAGTGCATTGGTATTTTGAAAATAAATATAAATCATGATTTAAATTTTAGTAACTAGATCTGGGGACTGTAAGAATAAATAGGTTAAAGAACCGTAGTAGACTCTAAAAGTTTCTGAAAAGAAAAAAGAATTTACTTGAGGGCAGCCTAGTCCCAGTTTTTTTTTGTAGAAATACAGTATATAAGGAGGAAAATTGGCTTAATGTGTGTCTGACATGGCCATATATGACTAGCGTCTCCATCAGTGTCCAATACTTGCAAATGTCTTAAGGATTGAACCTTCATCTACTAGAAATAAGATGAACTTGTGACGCATCTTATTTATTTTACTATGCAAGTTCGTTCATTTTGGGTAACAAGCATTACATGTATTTATGAATTAAAAAGAAAATCAGATGTGTCCATGCCTCATTCTGGAATTTTGGGCTTGCTGTCTGGGAATGGATTTCCATGTCAGAGTGTGATGCGCCCGTCTGCAGAAAACTCAGAGATTTCTATGTGGTTGTATCTTTTGTTTCCTTGCCTTAGAAGGATCTTTTATCTACATTGTTTATTCATTGCAGGCACGTAAACCGAGCATTAGCTTCTGCCAATCTTGCGGAGGCCAAACAAAGCAAGTTATACCGGATGGAGAGGAGAGGACGAGAGCAGTTTGCACTATCTGTGGGAAAATACACTATGAAAACCCTAAGATGGTATGGACTGTCAGTGACATAAGAAGTTTCCCCTCAATATGTTTTGAAGTGTGATTGGTAGTGTTATCATCTACCTCTAGTTTTTTCTTGTTGCTCTAAAGTTGTCAGTAACATGTATTATTATTGATTGATTTCGTCTTCCTGTGCTAAACTTTGTCATTTCAGTTGTTTTCAATATCATATCTTTGATTACATCCAGTCCTGATAATTGCAGGTTGTTGGCTGCCTAGTTGAGCATAACGGCAAGGTGCTTCTTTGCAAACGGAAGATTCAACCATCTTATGGGTTTTGGTACAAATATTAACTTCTCTGTTACCTCAATATGGTTGATTTAATTTTTAATGCGTTAAAAGTAATCCAAATAACTGGTTTCTTTATAAACTTATAAGTTTTAGTTGCCTTAGCTGGCTCTTCTTAATATATTTATGATTAAACATTAGTAGCCCCCCCCGACCCCCCCCCCGCCTAAAAAAAAAGAAAAAAGAAAAAAAGAAACAAAACAAACACCACACCAACTCAAAAAAAAAGAACAATAAGGTACTATAAGACATATGTAGGACTGAAAACATCATCGTAGCACATCAGAATTGGTTAAAAAGTTCTGTATTTTGTTTTGTAAGCATATACGACTAGACACAGGTCTATGTTTGAATTTCTTAATCTGTTCCTAGAACTAGTTGCTATTATGAATGAGTAAAGTCGTCATATTCAGGACTTGTAACATGAAGAATGTAATTTACTGAATCATCAATCATGTCATAGTCTGAAGATATCCATTTGTGTCCGGTAGGATTGCTATTTCTTGTGTCCCGGTTACTTCTGAAGCTTGAGTGATCTTATTATTCTTTTCATGTACTTGATTTCTGTTCTATCTGATATCCCAATAGAGCTTTTATTCTTAACTCTCAGTGAGTTGGGTAGTAGTTTCCCCATTTATCTCTATCTTGGCTCACCTCAATCAAATTAGACGCAATTCATCCTGTAAGCAATTCCATTTTGTCATATCCTTCAATCTCTATGGGACATATTAATGCCATCTCATGTGATGATACTCAGTGTTATTGCTTTCTTTCCATCTTCAAGTTACATATCATACTCATACTACAGCCATTAAAATTATAATAAGCTGCTTTATGTGCTTAGTCATTATATATCTGCAGGACTCTACCTGCTGGTTTTATGGAAATTGGGGAGTCTGCTTTGGAAGGGGCAAGCAGGGAAACCTTGGAGGAAGCATGTGCCGAAGTTGAAGGACTTTCACCATTTGCTCAGATTGATATTCCTCGTATTGGCCAAGTAAGGGGACAAATTTCTTATGCGACTGGTCTTTTATGTTATGAACTGGATAATGGTATATCCATTTGTTTCTTCATTGTATGTTTCTCAGGTTTATCTCATTTTCCGAGCAAAATTGAAAACGCCCAATTTTTCACCTGGTTCTGAGTCGCTGGAGTGTCAACTCTTTAGCCCAGAGGATATACCATTTGATTCTCTAGCATTTTCATCGATTATTGTTACTCTCAGAATGGTAAACCTTATTCTTGCTTGAGTTCTTTGATTATGCATTTTTTTGTTTCTATTTTTCCTTGATCGTGTGGTTTGTAGGAATGAATTGAGATTACTTTTTTTTTTGCTTTTGCAGTATGTTGAAGATATCAAAGCTGGAAACCTGAAGTTTCATTACTGTACTATAAACAAGAGGTATGTCCTATTTCCCATTACGAACACTTATAGTAGCCATAGAAGCTTTCTGAAACAGTTCTGCAAGAATTCTGATGATAAAAAGAAAATACAGCTCGTGGGGAAAATTAAGTAAAAAATCTTGAAATTTTAAGTCCTTTGCCGTCTTATCTTTTTTATATTCTGAGGTTTAGATGTTTTCTTTATTATGTAAAAAATTGTCTAAGAAAAATGAAGTACGCACAGTTAGATAATTCATGTCACCAAACACTTAAGACTGCATGGAGAATGTAAGGATGACTAAAAAGAAATCACTTATTTGGTGGTTATGTCCATCTCTTGTGGGAGGGTTGAGTTATATAGCATGAGTACCTCATTATACTGTAGCCTGCCTATGTGCTACATAACTGATTCCAGGATACTTGAATGCTTGCTGGATACCATTAGAGACTCTATCCAGTGTTGTATCTAAAAGTTTATTAGGTATTCCAGTTATATCAAAGAAACATAAAACACCTGAGATTAATATGTTAAAAATATAGTGCAATTTCATTGAACCTTTGTATGTAATTTTATAAATTTTCCATGTTTTTAACTGAGAATTATGATCTTCAGTACCCATTCATTTATGTAACTTGGAAATCTTTTATACTGCTTGCTGTAGGCTGTCTAAAAATAATAATAGATAGTTGATTCCCCATGAAACACCGATGATAGAAGTTACAATCTGACGACTTCCAGAAGGCTACAATTTGAAGACTTTCACATATCAAAGAGCTAAAGCAAAGATTACAAAACGACGATCTTCAGCAATGCTCTGACAGAAAGAGATTACAAATCAACGATCTCTTCAAATCAAGACGTGGAAGTCCTCCCTGTGTACCATCGTCCAGACACAACACCAATTCAATCACCTACGCAGCTTCAACTGCTGCAAACACGAATGCAACTTCTTATGTGAGATGATTGATCTTGGTGGCTGCGACAACAACATGACTAATATTATATTAGCAACTATTAGAGATGCTGATGAGCAGTGTAATGATATTCGACACACTGAGGAGTACATGGTTAAACCATGCAAGGAAATCTTAGTGGAGATCGTGACCTGCAGTTGATAGAGCGTTATTGAGATGCCTCAATCGTCACAAATGGCCTTCTCGAATGGCCATTGGTGTCATCCATATATAAAGACAGAGAAGCTCAAACGCAGCTCCAATCGCTGCCAAGCACAGCTCAAACGCAGCTCCAATCGCTGCCAAGTACACCTCTGAACGCAGCTCAGATCAGCCTCTGAACGCAGCTCCAGCTGACTTCGAACGCAGTTCTATACTGCTGCCAAACGCACCTTCAAACATAGAAGAACGCAGCTCAATATCGCTGCAGAACGCACCTCCAGATGCTGCGTTCAAACATAGAATCTATGCCAGAACGCATGTCAAAGTTCTGACCTGTTCAAACGCGATCCAGGCAGTTTAAAAAACCGCTCATCACCCATGATCTGGGGAGTGGTTTTAATGGGTTGTTACAACCGATTAATGAGGTAACAAAACCTATCATTTAGGAGCGGATTAAGGGGTCAGTTACACCCCTAATCCCCCTATAAATATCAACAAACTCAACAGAGTTCAGGGAGATCTTTTGGATTGTTGGGATCGGATTTTGATTACTTGGAGAGGATCTTCTGATCAGATTTTCCAAAATCGGAGAAAGAGGATTGACCCCTTACACAGTCTGGGGAATCAACAAACGGAGGAGCTCCAAACCGTCGTTACTTGGCCCATTAACCGAATTATTTTCGGTTCAAACAACTCTATCATTATTAGAGTTTGTTGTTTGTTCTGAAACAGAAAACTCGTCAAGAGTTATCAACCAGACCAGACCGTTGTTCCAGTGAGTATAGATATTCGGATCGTCAACGAGAAGCAAACTCGACGCAAGCATTCGAGGGAGGCATCTCATCGCTACCAGGAAGAACCCAGAATTAAACAAAGGGGAGAATCCAGATCATTCTCTTCTCTTTTGTAATCAGGAAATCCAATTGTAATCGAGAGTTGAGAGAGTTGTAAGCATTCTTGTTCTAAGCAGTTAGAGAGAATAAAATCAAATACAATTCTTTCCTTTATTTTCTTATTACAAAATTTTCCACAAACAAAAGATTGCGACTCCGCTGGGGACAAGCTTCTCTGACGAGGAAGTGGTGGCGCAATCCGATGTTCACCTCATTGGAACAACCGTCGAAACTCTTGTGATGGAGTTTGACCAAGCCAAGTACGAAGAGGCCCTCTCCTCTGGATCGCTTAGCCCCAAGGCTAGGCGAGATGCCTGTAAGAGCTCTAAAGAGGTTTTAACTGCTGTTGAGACGTCAAAGAAAGCCCTCTCCTTTGGCCAAAGCCTCAAACTCGCCCTGCAACCTGAAGATCCCGCACCCGTTTCGACACAGCGTGTACTGGGTTATAAGAGGCCTATGACAGAGAAAGGCCTAATCAACGCCGACAACGCTGCTGCTAAGGCTTTGAAACAAGCCAAGAAAAACGCCGCTCGAAGACGGAGAAGATCCATCCGAGGAGCACATCTCCGAGAAAATCAATCTTTGGTCCAACGCAAGGATTGCATTTCCGAAGCTCTGCCTAAGCATTGCGTTCATACTTCAGAACACACACTTCGAGGTAATGAATCCAACTATGAACCTCGGGTGATTCAACTTAAACGCGACCCTCAGTGGTGCGTTGTCCAATCAAAACATAGCCCTGCTAAGGGAAAACAGGCACCTCATGAGTGTGTCCAAACAAAACAAGACCCTAAGGGGTCTGTTTTATCAATTAAACGCAGGCCAAGGCCTAGTGTTTATAGATCACAACGCGACCCTCGCACTTCGACTCCCGAATGCGATGTGGTCCGCCAAGTTCAAGAGAGTCGACGTGGGTTTAAGATTCACGTCCACCAAGAACCAGTCTCGCCTACTCAAGGACAGGGGGTCTCATCCCCGACGAAGAAGTATCCTCAAATCTCTGATTTGCGAGAGTTACTCTCCAGAAAACAGCCAACGCAGCGAGTAGCTCATTTATGTCACTGTGAGCGGCTTATTTCAACAGTCATTTCCGAATGTCACTGTTGTATGCCTGAGCCTCGCAGGTCTGTATTCGACAGACTGTCTGACGTCGCAAGACCTACCAAACGACGACGTCAAAAGAAGAAAGTTTCTGAAGCCGAATACCCTCAGGTCACCATCAACATGACCAGCAGAGGAAAGGCTCCGTGTCCTAGTTCTGATGAATCAGAAAGAAGCCATTCTCCGACTGTTCGAGAAATTTGCGATGAGTTCGAAGGGGTATATCGACATACTCGGTCACGGACCGGAGCTATTCGCTCAGTAGATTATCGAAAGTTGGCCAAAGGGATTACGACAAGTGATGAACATTCGGCAATAGCTGAATCTCAATCTTCAAGCTCTGTCGGAGCACAGAAGGTTTCTGTTTATATGACGGGAAACCCCGAGGACATAGCCAAAAGAGTGGACGAACATCATGTCATGCTCCAAGCGCAACAGGAAACACTTCTTCAATTGAAAGACATGTTGGCCCAGTTTCTGGCAGAAAAAGGCCAAAAACCCGAGTCTTCCCGGAGGACAACGTCAAAGGGAAAACACAAAGCACACGAACATTCAGATCATGAGACTCACAACTTCGACTCTTCTTCCGACAATGAGAAAGAGATGGAAAAAGAGCTGTATCCTCAGTCAACCAAAGTGGATGAGCTAGAAGCCCGCCTTAACGCAATGGCCAACAGAAGCGAGCTTCGTGAGGAAGGAGTGATACGGCCTTACCCTGCAGAATGGGATACAGCTCCCTATCCGCCAAAGTTTAAAGCTCCAACGCTACAACCTTTTGACGGTACAAGATCACCAAATCAACACATCTACTACTTCAAGTCACAGACCGGAGATGTGGTAGCAAACGATGCAATCCTGACACGCTTGTTCATCGGTACCCTTAAAGGAGTGGTCTTTGAATGGTTTATGAAATTGCCTGCTGGATCTATTCAGAAATGGGTAGATTTGGAAAGGCTTTTCTTGGCCAGATTCTTTGAAGACGACACAGAGGTCTCAGTCCCGACTCTTCTCGCCACTAAGCAGAAGAAGGGAGAATCTATCAAGACCTATGTTGAAAGATTCCGCAGCATGGCATTGCGATGCCCCTCAGGTATGACTCAATCAACATTGGTTGAAACTTGCAGGCACAACTTGCAGACCCAGCTCCTTGCTCAGATGGGGGTAGCAGAATGTCGCTCCTTGAGACAACTGGTTTCGCAAGGGGAGCAAGCTGAAGAGATTGTCGCTCGGATCAAAGCTGAAGAAGAGCCACAACCCAAGCCGCAGCAGCAACGCAATCAGAACAACGCCCAACGGTCTAAGGGAAAAGAGACTTTAGCAGCTGACTACACGCAAGTACCACCGCCTACTAAGCAAGGCAAGACACCCAATCAGCAAAGAGCGCCCAAGCAGTATTCGTTCAAAGAAGAGCATGTGGACACTCTGTTCCAACTACTTCGGAAGAACAATAAATTGCAGCTCCCTGAAATCAGAAAACCAGATGAAGCAGGAAAGGTAGATGACCCCAATTACTGTCGCTATCATAGGTTCTTGGGACATCCTACTAGAAAGTGCTATGTCTTCAAAGACATCTTGCAAAATTTGGTGAACGCTAATGTACTCACCCTGAAACCGGAGCAAAAGACTGTAAGCACTAACCTGATTGCGGTCCAGTTTGGTGATTTCCCCCTGTAGCTGCTGCAGATGGTGTTATTCCCGTCCATAAAGGGGAGATGCACTTGAAAAACACCGACTTACATAACCAGAAGGGCAGGGGGTTGGTACCCCTCACTATTCCAAAGGGAGAGATCATGTGGGTCCATCCGGACCTAATTGAAGATCAGCAATGGACGAACACTGCATTCAAGCAGAAAAGAAGCAAGGCTAAGTCATCCAACTTGATTAGCCCCTCTGTTAATGAGAATAATGA